AGAGAGAGAGAGAGAGAGAGAGAGAGAGAGAGGGAGAAAAAAAGAGAAGAAAAGATCAGCGACGGAATGCTGGGAATGCTGATATTGAATTCAGCATGGCTGTTCACAGCAGTGCGCGGTCCAGGATTCACTGGGTGTGTATAGACGATGTGTTGCACACAGGCTCGTGAATTTCTATCCGTGTTCTCTGTCGGTGTGGCAGCGGTGGTTGCGCGCGTGCAGTGCGGGAACGGCCATGAGGAGATCGGTGTGCGAGGCAACAGAACACAACACAACGGGGCCAATGTGGTTTTTCGACAGGCTTGTGTGCGTGAGTTTAGCTCACCTAGCAAGAGAGTCCGCGCGGCCGGTGCAGCCACAGCGACAGGGTGGTTGCTGAACCTGGAAGGGTGGGCCATAGGTTACCTTGGCAACCGGAGGGAAAACCATTCCATCCTGCTGGCGGCATATCATGCCAGGGGCGAGTCAAGCAGCCAGAAAACCCTTCGTTGCATCCTCCCTATCCGGTGAGCTTCCTCGCCCAGCCACCTCTCACTCTCTCTCTCTCTCCTTCCTCCCTACTTTCTCAGCTCCGTTTCTGTTTCTGTCCCTCTCTCTCTTCTTCGTATGTTTCACGCACGCCGCACGGCTCTCAGAGTTCGTTGGGCTCCTCTCTCTTCTCTCGACAACCCGCCGATTGTGTCCCCGCACACTTCAGCCACCATAAATACCCGCCAGGACTATCCGGCCAAGCACTGGCCCAAGCATTATCAACAATTTCGTTGGATCAAGCTAATGTCCATGCAGAATTTATAGATAACCGTTCTTTCCGCCCTTCTCGGAGGGAACTCTCTCTGGCCAGGATTTCGTCGGATGAGGGGGTTAACAGCTGGGCGTGAAGTTCGTTCGCTCCCGGGAATGCTTAATTTATGTACCTTCTTCCTCCCCTTCTTCCAATATCTTTCAATTTCTCCGGCTTCTTTTTTTTTTTTCTTTTCTCTTCACTTTCCATCGAACGCGGCGACGGAGAGGTATAAACTCGTTCGACGTTCCAACAAGCCGAAGGAGAAGAATTGGCCGACGTTAGTTATTTTCAAACGACGTGCCACCGATAACCCTTTC